GTTTACTTCGGTTACAATCAAATTGTCACTAAGTATTGTCTATAAAAGTGTTTGGTGCAGATTGTAGTGTTATTGTAGATTGGCGATAGCCAAAAGACCCACATTTAGTGGTAGCAGCCCGCTGGTAGAAGGCTTGCTCTACATTTATTAGATAATAATCCAAAATACATGTTACATTTTATAAAAAGTTACAATTATTGTTGTTTAAGTTTTGAATTACTTAATTTTTATAACGTAAATGTTGAAATATGTTTGAACGTGTTTTTAATTTAATTTTTTACTAATTCTTATTTAATAGAGAGAATATTGTCTTCAAATTTATGTGGGACCACTTCTGAGGTATCCTCTTTCCAAAAAAAAGAAGAATCATCAAAATCGGTTCACAAATGCCGCAAATCACAAACATGCATACAAAAAAAACGTACAGTCGAATTGAGAACTCCTCCTTTTTTGAAGTCGGTTAAAAAAACGAAAATCCTTCTGATTCCTGGTATGTCGATAGCTTTCTCAAAGTCAGGCGAATTCTACTTTTAGCTATGTCTAAGAGTGATTACACACGACGAATTATAGCAGCGAAGCAAACGCGATGCAGTAGCGATGCAGTCGTTTATTAAACACGTGCGCGCGATTAAAAGGAGCGCGATACAAACGCGATGCACCTATTAAATTAACTAATTTATTTCTATTTATATTTATTAATTCCAATTTAAAATTTTCAATTAACAAAAGAAAACATTGTGCATAAGCCTATACAGGTTTTTCGTACATGATTATTCATCGTAAGCGACTACAACTGTACCTATGTAGTTGCGCGTTTACATCGATGCAATCGACTATACATCGCAAATGTAGCGATGCAATCGCGCGTTTCATAAACGCGTGTTTGCATCACTGCTTAAGGTCGTCATCTGTAACCACTCTTAAGGCATATAATAATATAATTTAGTGTATAAGTCGTTACAAATAAAAGAGGTAAACTATATTGTTTTTGGTTCGACTCTACGTAAGTAGGCGTCTGTGGTTGTTCTACCAGCGATTGTTTGCTTTTATACTAATGAGAAATACATACATATTTTAAAAAAGTGCAAATGTATTCTTTTTAATACAACATTACAGTTAATTTATACTGCTTAAAATAATTATAGCAAAAATATCTAAAATAGGTTGGTAAAAAATCCAACTTTATACGAAAAATAATATTTTTTCTTTTAACGTAACTCATTTTCGCTGTAGAAATAGGAAGGAATGTTACAGCACCGACCTTTTTGTTGTGAAAGCCTTTTTAAGCATTCAACAGAAAAATGTAAAGTGAAATTAGAATTTATGTCTTGTAATTAGAGACCAATTGACTTAAAAAGTTTCTTAAAACGTCATTTTATAATGATGCAATAAGGAAGTCATACTTGTCGAACATTTGGTAAATTTATAGGCACATGGGACTTGTTAACTTATGTCTTAGGGTTACCGGCGCAGCAGCAGTGTCCCTAACACTCTTAAACCAGAGAAAAAATAGTTCAAGGAAGTGATGGATAAACCTACCACTTCAAGCACACATTTGCGTGTGTAGTAGTAGGTAAGTAAGTTTCTACCGTTGTATGGAGTGTCCGGGTTGTGCCTAAACTAAGTAAAATTGATTACTTGCATCTTAGATATCCAAATCGGTGATTATAGCTTAATAATTAGTCAACATATTTTGTTCAATAACAATAAATTTAATAAAACATGAATTCTTAATTACATTAGCTAGCGTCTTAATCACTATCAGGATTACGTGTTAAGTAACAACAGATATAACCTTTTCAATGTCATGGTAGTTTTTGCTTTTAACCAGTCTTGCGTGGTTTTCTTACATTGTTATAAGGAAGAGTCCCTGTCATTTACAAAATCGTTTGTTACAGTACCCATTCCTGTCTTATATCATGTCTTGCTGTTCGCTTGCTCTAGGCGCCCTCATAGTGGATGGAACTTCAATATCTCTGCCGTCCACTAACTAAAAAAAACGCAGCGAAGTGACAAATGGTCAAACATTCATTTGAAATAGCAAAAGATGGAGCAAATTCTCTTTTAAAAACAGTTAAAATTAGTCAACGCGTTCAACTTATCGATGCATGCTGAAAAATCATTAAACAATTTCAATACTCATAACTGGGTTATTGTTTATCACATCTCAAAAAAATATTTTGTCACTTAGCCGGGCAGATCTGACTTCGGCACTTTTTCTCGCTGGGCATAGCGCGTCTCCCGTCCTGTGTTAGCTTGTTGTACCGCTGACAGGAAGCGCACTTAGGTAGGGACACAGTATCGAATCAAAAGTATCGATACTGTACTCATGAGTAGTATCGCATAAAAAGTATCGTATACATAACAGTATGCAAATTTTCCCTACTTAAAGACAAATAAAACATATAACTTTATAAGTCTTTTGCTTGATTTTTGATGTTTAATTGAAACAAAAGACATTGATTAAATCGATCAATTCAATCAATCGTCATTTCACATAATTTGTGTTACTTAAGTTTCCCACTCGTCCTCTGTATAATCAGTTAAAATCAAAAATCTATTTGGCTTGCTGCAGGCTGTTTCTCGTTTTTGATATTGTATTGTCTGCTTTTGAGAACAAACGTTGTGAAGAAGGGACAAACTTCGCCGGAATTGCGAGGTACACAAATATAAATTCGTCAGGTACACACGCCAGCACATCAAGCTACACATTGACGTATCTTGTTCCGTTGCACTGGAAGTGATCTTCGAACAAAAATGTGTAGTATCAGACTACACATTTTTGTTCGCCGTTGTCCGTAAATTAATTCAAAAGTTATTAATTATTTTTCTTCATTCTCATTATTATAAAGAGGCAAATGGTGGCATACACTATACAGCCAAGCCGTTTGTGATGAAGGTTGCCATTTAAAAAAAATCGCAAGGTGGCTTGCGTTACGATATGAGGTGTCCTACGTAGAAATTATTCAAAACGATACGATACTTGTCAAAAAGTACTAATACCTGAAAAGTATCGAGTACAAAGGTATTAGATCGGATGGAAGAGTACTCGATACCAAAAAGTATCGATACTTTTTCCATGTCCCTACACTTAGGTGGTTCTTGCAGTTTCGAGCAATCTTTAATTATACGACCCACGCAGCCGCAGTGAC